ATAGTTGGATACAAGTAAAATAAAAATCTGTTTGTTTCAAAGTAAAAAATCTCTACTGTAGTTAAATGCCTAAAGTTAAATGGTTATTTCATTTTGGCCACTTTTGCCCAATAAATGTTGGTGAAATAAAAATGGTAAAAGCAATTCCCAAAACACAGTCAGATTGTGTGTGTGTATCTATAAATGTAGGACCGCCTCCCTCTAATCAAGGCGATTAAATATTCCCGTGTGCACAGTCTGAGATCACACCACCGTGGACATGTGGGTGTGTGCAGGAATGCATGGTCGTTTATGTCTCTGTCTTCTAGGTGTGTGTGTGTTTCTCCACCTTCTCCACTTTTACTTTTCTCCACCAGGACTCTTTGTATCTTAAAACAGGTGGATATGCTCCAATAGAGAGAGTTATTGCAGTCTGTCTTTTACATAAAAACTTGCACTCCTCCAGGGGCGGCCAGAGGTTTTATTGGGGTTAAGGGAACATTTGAATTGGGAGCCACCAGAACAACACCATGCTCAACTGGTTCCACATTTTTCTTTTAGGGTACAATGTTTCACAGTTCACTGAGCTTTTTATCTGTTTGATAGCGTCTCTCTTACATTGTTTTAAAAATATGTAGTAAATATGTGGAATCTAAATGAAAAAATGATGTAGGATAAGTTAAATCCTCTGATGAATTAACCTCGCAGAGTAGTTTTGTACAATGTTTTAATGAGGAAAAGGGGAATGTTTAACCTTTCCTGCTCATAAAAATATCAAAATTAGTGAACTACTAGTGAAGTAGGGCTGCAACTAATGACTATTTTGCAAATCGATTAATCTGTCTATTTATTTTTTCAATTAATCAATAAATAATCAGAGAGCAACAGGTTTGTTAAAGAAGAATTTTTGCAAAATTATACCAGGTAAAACTAAAACGTTTCCACTTTAGGAGTTCTTGATAGAGCATACTGACAGACGAAAAAAAGATGTTATCTTAAATGCAAAATGTTTATATTTTTGTTTACAATTTGGGTATAATTGATGCACAAAATGGGTTTCTCTGTCAGCTAAAGGCTTGTTTATAGAGTTTCTACACTCCAGTTAATGAATAATCGATTACTAAATTAGTTGATAATTATTTCAATAATCGATTATTCAAGATTAATCCGATTAATTGTTTCAGCCCTATAGTGAAGGTTTATTTAAGAGCTCTTACAACATGATCAGGGAACCTGCACCAAGCATTAATACAGGCTGTAGTAAATACTGGATTAGTTTCATTACATGAATCGATGAAAAGGTAACTATAAAAATATAAAAATGTTTCAATGCATGAGTTTGATCTTCATTATAAGAATCCATCTTGACTAACTCATTGGAAACTTTAGGCTTAGAAAATAAAGCAGCCTCCATATAAGAAGACTATTTGTTCATAAGCAAATATCGGAATATTATTGGGGGGGATACAAAGCTAAACCTAAAACTCAAGCTTTTGTTTATCATCAGCCTCAACGTGCAGCCTTGCAAACCTCAGTAGAGCAGTAGTTGAAAAGTCATGCTCAACTGCATCATAAAAAAATCACTCCATGTTTTTTTTTTCACCCACTATTACTGACATGACAGAAAGATTATTGCAGAGCATAACATGGCGGTGCTGAGGGTTTAGCACTGTTACAAGCTATAAGTAGCCACCATAATTAAAACTCCTGACAAAGACGGTTGTCGTGAACTCAGAACTTGGCTAGTCTATTCTCACGTTTTTATAGTCGTATGTGCAGTGTGAGTTAAGCAAAGAAACATTCTTAAAAAACTAGGATTATGTTTGATGGTAGCAAGACAGATGTTAATTTAAACAAACTATTAGGAATCAACCTTTAAGCTTTGAAAAGGTTGATGATATTCTAAAGTAAAAGATGGTAGACTCCTCCTTACAGGAAGTCCTGTCCATTGCAGTTTGAAATCTTGAATAAAATCAATAAGATATATGTTAACATTTTAGTTTTACATACCTTTGTGAATAAAAAATTCCTATATTTTAGTTATTATGAGCATCTTTTATTGGCCATCATTTTAACTTCAGAAAAAATATCAATTATAACAAATTTGGAAATGTTTTAAAACTGCTATTCCAATATTGACAGATCAATAAAAAAGTAGACTCATTCTTATAATATTTCAAAGACAGTCCAAAATGTTCATATTCTGCTGAGAGCTACGAGCAGCTAATATCTGATCTACAACGGATCATCCAATTAGTATCAATCTTAACTAATGGCTGGTTCTGAATTAACCAAAACTAAATGTTTAAAACTTGAAAAACCACTTCATGCTCAAAAACACTGTTGTGGTTTATGTGAATGCTATTTTAAGAACTGTTTAACTGTCAAGTTTGTGTTGGTTGGCTATTTATAGGAAACCAATAAATACTGTATGTACAAAGGAAATGGAAGGTGGAGGTGGTGCACCACCAATAATCTTCTTGTGTGAAACATGTACTCAGAACAGAATATGTAAAGTTAACCAGAGTAACTTTGTTATAGATAATTAAGTCCGCCTTCAAGTAAGTTTGTTAATGTCTTTTTTTTTTATACAACTTTACTCTTATTTGCCAATTTTATAAAAAATCCTATATCCTTTTATCTGTTTCAAACAGGACGATAATTCTAGGCGCACTGCCTCCTTCCTCTGCATTATCTGTACTTTTCTATGTAAATATCCACTAAATGCAAACATGAAAATAGTTTGGAGTTTAAAAGATTATTACTCACATACAGCTATGACAGTTTGATGATAAAAATGTGGAATTAGGGATGTGATTTAGTCTTTTGGTACAGTAGGTTCATCCTCTGGGACAAACCCTCCTAGTTGATTTATCAAATCATTTATACTGAAAAGGGAGAGTTATCTACTAGACATAAAATCATAGCAGCTTATAACCTTTTTAGCCTGACTTCAAAAAGAACCGAAGAAAATAAATTAGTAGATCTAAAAATGAAAAAAAATCGTAAACTAAGTATATTATTTAGACCATTATATATGGTTTGATTTTCTGTTTATTTTGGTTAATCGTGATAAATTGAGATTACAGAAAATGAAACTAAATTCAGTTCTAAAAATTATATAATGTTTTATAGAAGCAATTAAAAACAGGCTTATTCGAGAATGTAAATGTTGCATTATAGCTCACCTAATTAAATTAACTTAAAACAGTTCCCCAAACCTTCCATGTATAGGAAAAGCCATTAAAGACAATTCGAGAATATAGATGGAAAGTTCATTCGATGGAAAAAATGTGGCAGAAAAGTATGTGGCTCAGGGCTTACCACAACTTTCAGCTGGTTGTGAAGCAAATCTCTTCAAAGAATTTGATTGAGATTCGCAAAGCATGGACTGCAGCTGGAATCAGTGCTGCAAAAAGCGCAACATGCATGATATAATTAGGACATGGACTACAACTGTCAGATTCATTTTGTTTAGCCAGTCCTGAATCAGAGGCAACTTCAGAAGTATCTTAATTGGGTTAGGGAGGAAAAAGGACCGGACTGTTGCTCAGTAGTCCACAGTCCTCTTTCAAATGACAGCACATTTTTCATCTTATTTAGAAATCAAGGTCCCAAAGTCTGAAGAAAGAGCAGGAAGAAACAGAATCCTGAATGCTTGAGATCCAGAGTAAATCCTCTATTTTCAGTGATGATTAGTGGAGCCATGTCACCTGCCTGTTTTGTTCCGCCATACAGTATTTTAATTCATCCAAAGTCAGCACAGCCTCTGCTATCCTCTACTGACGAGCTTTATGGAGATGCTGATTTCATTTCCCAGCAGGATCTGGCATCAGCCCACACAGCCAAAACTACCAAACTTGCTTTAATGAGCATCGTATCCTGTGCTTGATTGCCCAGCTTGCTAGTCTGACCTAAACCCCATGGAGAATCCATGGAGTACTGCCAAGAGGAAGATGAGAGACAAGAACTAACAATGCAGACAAGATGAAGGCCACTATTAAAGTAACCCCCGCTTTTGTTGCAAAAATGGTGCCACCCAAGTATTAAGTGCACATAATGTAAATCCCTATGATCCTGGGGTCTGAGGTCTGGATACTTCCACAGCGTGCATTCAAGGTCTCCACAATCCCATTAATGAACTCATTATTTTGTGGGAGTGTTGGACTAGTGGTTAGAGCAGTGCGCTTTTGCTTTGAGAAGGTTGCAAGTATCAACTAGTAGTAGCCTCCGCTCTGGGTTCCTTAGCAAGACCCTTAAACCCACACTGCTCCCCGGACGCCGCACAATGGCAGCCCACTGCCATGGGTTAAATTCAGACAATGAATTTCCCCATTGTGGGACAATAAATGGATTAACTTTTTTTTTTTTTGTTTAGTATGAAAGGAGAGACGTATTTGACAGGAAAGGCACACCAGACCTCAAGGGCAGGAAATTAAGACACGTTTTTGCTTAAATAGTATTTTTTATTTTGGTTCAATATTAGTATTATGTTGGAAATCGAATTTGGCGTTTTTATTCACTGTAATTCATAGAAAAAAAAAAGCATTGGCATACATACTAAGTGGTTAAATCATTTTTAGGATGAGCAAGTTTAACTTGTTGTTATTTTAGAATCAGAATCAGAAATACTTTAATAATCCTAGAGGGAAATAACTTTTGTTACACGTATATATATATATATATATATATATATATATATATATATATATATATACACGACAAACCACACAAGATAATAAAAATATAAATATACACACATATAACTCTTCTATATATATATGCGTATATAACTATGCATATTAATCACTGAAATAACTGTAAAGTGCTTTGAGATGAGATGTGTTGTGAATTGGCGCTATATAAATAAACTGAATTGAAATGGAGAACTTGGAGCTTTTTAATCTTTAAAAAAAGTCGTAATTAAAAAAAATCTGAACTATCCCTTTAAGCTAAATCGTTTGTGTAAATGTGCTCTCGGTCGCCCCCCTCTGGCCTTTAGGGGTCACAAAGCGGTCTCGTAGTTCGCTAATACCTCGGTCTGGCTCTTTTCCAGTCTATGTAATGTCTCTCACCTCCAGATAAGGATTTATAAATATATTTATCCCCCTCTGCCGCGCTGCTGGAGATGAGGAGGAGAAAAAGGGGGAAAGCGCAGGCGGGCAGGCAGCACCAGCAGCGGGGAGAGCAGAGCAGTGAGGGGGGTGGGGGGGTGATGAGTCAATACAACTAATAATTTAATGGGGACAGAGAGGGAGAGACGGAGTGAGAGGGGCAGAGACAGAAAGAAAGAAAGAAAGAGAAACAGAAGAGGAGCTCCGTCCGGACGCCAATCCCCATCCAACAGACAGGACGCCTCCTACTATCACCACCACCGCCGGCGGGGGCTGCTCGCCTATCCGTCCACATCGAGGCTTTATCGGCTGTTACCCGGACCGCGCGGCAGCGGCGGCGGTGTGGATGTCGCGGAGCGAACTAGAGCCGAACTCCCCTCTGTAGTTGTAACCGATGTAGCCGCGGTTAGAGGCGGCTATAACCCGCTCACTCTCCGCTAAATGTCGCCGGTTTCACAGCTCTGAGTCTGTTTCCTCCAGCTGGACGGAATGAGCTAACGTCGAGCAGCGCTCACCGATGCTCGCCTGTCGGGCTCCACATCGACCCTCGCAGCGGCTCACAGACACCGGCTTGTTGTTGTTGTTGATCCGCTGCGCTGCCGAGAAGAGCCGGAGGAAGCGGCTGGTTCATCTTTCAGCTCAGCCTCCTGCTGTCATGCACACGGAGTCCGACTAAAGAGGCAGGACTCAGGAGTTGCTATTTTTCCTCCTTTCTTTTTAATCTTTTTTTTTTTTTTAAAGAAACATTGTTTCTACCCTGGCTAAACTTGAAGGAGACGCGTTTTCCAGGCGGTGTTTTATGTTCTCCAGAGCTGAAGTTCTAGGATTCAGGTTGGTTTTCATCCACAGTGTTATCACACCATGACTACAGGGAAAAGCAGAAATACTGGCTTACACAGCGAGACACACGAGCCACAACTCTATGCTGTCTTTAAAAAAAAATATATAAACCATATTCTGTCTAAAAAGGGTGAATAAAACCCTTTTTATTTAGTATGTTTTACAGGTGTCAGTAGAATCCAGAATCCTAACTGCTGCTGCTTTTTCTCCAATCAAGTCAATCCTGTTTAGAAAAGCGTGGATGTCTAAATTGTAATTATAAATCTTTTATAAAGCCTACCAGAATATGTTCTAGAACTAATCTAGAGCCAGCAATTTTTTTTTCTACCTTAAAAAGAACCAGGTTGGGGATTAAAGGTCAGAACTGAAGTTGTTTCAATCAGCAATCCCTTGAAAGCTAAAATCAGATTTTATGATTTAACTTTACTTTAAGGTTTCGTTGCATTTTTATTTTTCTCTCAGTAAATTTTGGGTCTAAATGCTTCTAAATCCTATTCTCCTCATCCATCCTCCCCTAAACTCTGATTTGCCCCATTTAACTTTTTCTCCTGTTTTGTGTTTGAAGGTCATTTAAAAATCCTGACCTGGATCTGGACAGCATCCGGCTCTGGATTCCTCCCCAGCCCCTTTCCTCCTCAAATTAGTTTGCCTCATTGCATGTTATGAATGGGGGAGTTCATGATCTTTTGCGTGGGGGTGGATGATTTTGCCCTTTTCTCTGGTTGAGCATTCCAGCTCACGTCCGTCAGCACCCCGTTAACCTGCACGCATCATTACATTTTCCACCTTAACGAGTGAGATCGGATTGAACCAGGATTGTGCTGAGCTGTGTCCGAGCTCTGAAGCACCTGTGGGTGCTGCAGCCTTCCCACATTTACAATTTCGATGACTGCCCTTATGACTCAGCAGCTGCCTGCTGTCAACTTTCCTCGAGCCACGTTGTCCCCGCCGTCCCGGGCTCGTAAACTTACTGTGGTGTTTAAAAAACTAGTGCTTTGGTTGTGAAATCTAAAAATAAAGTTCACACCTGTTGAGAAACCTACATGTCTGTCGCAGCAGTGCGACGCCGCGGCCTTTGCTTCCCTTTACCCTCCTGAGCTGCAGCATGGACGTGAAGCCACACGAAGCAATGACTCAGAGACCGAATTGCATTAGTTTCCTGCACTGCTCTGCAGAACCTCCAATCTTCTCACTGCATGCAAACCGAGCAGTATGCCGTCACACATTTAGTCGTTTGCACGACAGGTTTGGCCTTTGTTAAACCTTTTTTCTTTATACTCAGGGATATCTTCTGGGTCCATCATACATGTCATGCTGTTAAAAAGATGCATATATGCTTTAACGGTTTGCATCTTTCCTCTGTTTGTCTCTTCCCAGGTGATAGTGAGCTGAGGTGCTGAGGATGATGGAACATCTCAGCGAGTCGTGTCTGGGGAAGGAGAACTCAGAGCTAGTCGTAGGCGGCCTGACCGAAGCCAAGGCCCCGCCGGCCAAACTGCCCCGGCTGGAGCAAAATGGCAGTCCCCTGGGCAGAGCCAGGCTGGGCAGCGCTGGAGCCAAACTCGCTGGGGTCCCGTTCAAACCTGCTGGCCACCTGCTGAAAGCCTGCCACAAGAGAGGTAGGAGAGCATAATATGAAAGGGAACATTTCCTTCACTTTTTAAACTAATCACTACTACCAAAGTGCTGATAGGAGGCTGGGGTTATATATTTTGTTTAGCTATGCTGAAAAATAACATTTTAATTTTGATAAAGACAAAAATAGATCAAATATCTTCATTTATTATTCACATATTTTACAAGAAACAACCTATACTGAACCTGCATGTAAAAAAGAAATAAAATCAAGATGACATTAGCAGAGATGAATAAGCTAAAAAGTCATATTCATAAAGGAGTCATTTAAATGCTGTTTTACCCTCTCACCTACCTCTGCAAGTTCTTTAGACCTCATAAACCTTTTCTTGTTTGAGAAACAATGCTCCGGTATAGTCTCCACACACTCTCCCTCTCATATTGCTAGCACGTATTTTCTCAGACAAAAGCTAATAGAGGCGCAGTGTGAGAAATGTTCCTGCACTGGGCTACAACTGCAGCTCTTATATTTGTTTATTGAGCAGTAGATCCAGTCTGAAAAGAGTCATTTTTAAAGACAGTTTTTAAGACTATAGCTTTTTATATATATATATATTTTGCAACTAGTGCCATGATTTATAAATGAAATATTTGGTAGGCTGTCCAATATACACTGTGCCTTTCAATTTTTTTATCTGGGTTTTGTAGCATGGAAGTAAAATAAGACATTTTTAAGAGTTTTAGACATATATCGGTGAAATTCCAACATTCGTCTCACTAAAATAGAAATCACAGGTCTTTTTTTCTTGCAGCAATGAGATCAACAGATAGAGCAGAGTACAGTACAGCATCTCCCCTGATAGAGCCAAACTTGAACCGTCTAATTCAAAGAATGGATCCCTTTTATTCACTCTCCTCTCGGCCTCCAGGTTCCTGACCACATGTTTTAAAGTAAACACTCCCCTTTCTTTGTCATACTGAGGTGTCTGCTCCCAGGATCCCCCCCCCCACACACACACACACACTCGGATTAATAACCCTCAATGCATCAAGGTATACAGGATATTGGCAGATAACTTTCTCACTGAATGTCAGAGCTTGTAGGGAATCGACATAAAGAGGAATTATTGCAAAATATAAAACATCTTTAGGAACAGCATTTCACAAAATAAAAGTCAATAACTAATACCGGGGAGGTTCCAGCTATGCACATCTAAAGACTGATTCTTCAACTCATCCTTTAAAGAACAGCTCTAGAACAGTGGATGGTTTAGGGAATGCCTGTCACCTGCGTTCTTCAAATCTTGCCTCGCTCTTCTAACTTATGAATATGCTTTAATCTGGAACACTCTATTGTTATTACTTTTGCTTGTTTATTCAAGGCAAGGCAGGTTTATTTAGAGAATGTTTTTAGTTGCGAGAGAAATGTACGTGAACAAAATAACATAAGGATAAAACACAGAAAAGTATGTTGCAGTGGTATAGTAGGAGAGGAAATAAAACACAATAAAACTAAGTATGAAAGGCAATAAGGAGGAATAATTAAACTGATAAAATTATAAAGAAATGATAAAATGATAATGTAGTTTGGAAAAATGTATTTATATTTAGTATAACTCTGGATGTTGCTTTTGAGATTATGCTGTTTTTAAATGTTTCTTCCTAATGAGGAGGCGATTTCCTGGAATTTCTTACTAGCTCATATTCACCCACTGAAACACTAATGTTTACATTGTTAACTTCAGATAACTGGGGGATATCCCTCTTTAAAATGTTTCCATTCCTGGAAAAAGAGTCAGACTGTTAACTTGATATCAGGGGAGCCCCTCACCACGTTCATAATTCAGAGTATTTTGCAGACTTTAGCAGGTTAGCAGCTAATAACATCCATTTTCCCTTCAGCTATGACCATCTTCCTCATCCCCACTAAAGAACAGCATCCCCACACCATGATATTGCCCCTGCCATGTTTCACAGTGGGGAATACAATTTCCTTTGCTTTGACAGTCCTCTTTTTTCACTAATGTTGTCAAGAAACCCTGGAGGCTTCCGCAGAACGGCTGGTTGGATACCGAGATATTAGCTCTAGTTGCTAATTTGGCGACTTTTCAGTTGGTTGCATGAGGTTCTGTTTGTGGTTGAAAGAGTAGGTTGGACTGAACAGTTATCCATGGCAGACGTTTCAGATAAAAATTTGTTAAACATGTAGAATAGTCTTTTTACGTCACCTAGCTGTTCCCTGGTTCATCTTAAAAAAAAGTATCTAACGGTAGTACATTTGCAATATGCTGATGAAGATTCCCAGTCATCCAGGTCATTGTCATTCCCTAAAAGTTAAAAAAACAATCCACTGGACTTGGTTTCCAAGGTTTGAAGACGTTTCGCTTCCCCTCCAGGAAGCGTTCTCAATTCAAATGTCACACATTGGACATTTGAATTGAGAACGCTTCCTGGAGGGGAAGCGAAACGTCTTCAAACCTTGGAAACCAAGTCCAGTGGATTGTTTTTTTTTAACTTCTATGGAATAGTAAATTTGCAGTTTTTAACTTGGAAAAATGTGTAAAATTGTCAAGCTTGCTGCCTAACTTTTGTTAAGCATAGTAATTAAATATATTTATTAGATTTTTTTTTTTGTAAAAATGATGCCTGATGTGGTTTATCTTGATGATTGAAATGATGATTGCTTTTTTTTCAGCCATAGTTTCTCTTGGCTCCCAAAGTGTTTGTTTGTTTGTTTGGCGTCTTTAGTTTTTTCTTTTGCCAACATGGGTGCAGGAACCCTTGGAATGTCGCTGTGGGAGTCTCCTCGTTAGGTCCGTTTTCTCTCATTCACTGTGTTTTACAAAGGTGTTGACGCTCCGGCTGAGAGAGAGAGTTTAACTAGTCACCTTTATCATGGCCTTTCCATTTATGGCGTCCCGTCGGGTTTGGTCCTCCGAGCTTCCTTCCTCCTCATCCCTTCTTCTGATTTTTTTTTGCTGGGTGAAGCGGCCAGTGGAGGCGGGTGATTCTGTCGTTGAGGCTTCGCATAGAGCCCACAGTGGGCATTGTGTCCCAGACCGAAACAATATTTACCGCAGCCCTCTCTGGGCTCCCAGGAAACAAAGCCGGTATTGATCCCCCAAATGAACCTACACAGCAGTCTTTATTGTTAGATCTTTATCTATTAAAATCAGGGGAGGAGAAAAGTAGCTCTTTCAGCACATTCCATTGCTTTTTGTCGGCTTATTGATTGTTTTGCCAGAGCCGTGCACATCTTCTGGAATGCCTGGGATTGGAAAATATTAGAAAGTGAATCATTTTTGTCTGCAGTGACAATAAACGTACAGAAACGTTTCCGCGCGGTCGGAGAGTGAAGCAACAGAGCAGCTCGTAAACACGCACCGCTCAGATTCCCTCTTCAGGAGCTCTTTAACATAACTCCTTTTTCCCTCTTCAAATTTAAAAGGCCAAATTTGCTCCTTTTTTTTTCCTCATCTAACTCTTCAATTTACGGGGATGTTATTTTAACAGAAACGCCATACCGGCTGATATTTGCACATGTGAAAACTCGGTCTTTGGACAAGCATTGTTCATTCTTTAAAACAGCAGAGCCACTGTTGACACAGAAGACTGAACCTCGGGGTGCGGAGGTGGCTCGGGATTTGAAGCGCTGCATCATGGGAAGATGATTTTGGGTTGGCAAGCAAAGAGTAGAAAGGCAAATGTAATCGCAGTACCTTGACAGTGAATAATGAGGATATCGTGCCCAAAAGGAAAAAGAGGAGAGGAGGAGTTTTAATGGCGGTTTTATGCAGAAAGGCTCCAATCAGGCTTTTATTGGCGGATCCTGATTTCTGGTTTCCCGTTGATGTCTAAGCACCTGATTCTGATTTGGTTTCCAAGGAAAAAACATCCAAATTCATTCTTTTAAACGTTCTAATTTAGTGTATCCAGCTTTGGTCTTTTAATAATTAAAAAAGGCTGCAGGAATCACAGATTTTTTTAAAAGGCAATGCCAAAAACATTTAAACTACCTTTAGCATCTCACAATAATTTTTAGTTTGGATGGATTAGTGATTTGAACAGCAGTCCTCATGTGAAATCCCCCCCATAAAAAAAAAAAATACTGAAACCTGTTCAGATTTTCCTTCTAGACAGCCTTTCAATGGTCCAAATGATAAAATTGAGCATTTTTGCTTTGCTTCTTAGATTTTTTGATTATTATTTCCGATTTTTTTTCCTATGACCTCAAATCCAAATACATCAATGGTTACAGAAAGTTGCTGATCTTCCTTCCACGGTAACAACTCACTCTAACAACTGGTATTTTATGGGCCTGTTATCCCTTTGGCATGGTGCGGTTATAACAGGAACAAGATCAGTCCAACTGGCAGAGCTGGGATTCAGCTTATTGTGGAGACTGGCTGATTTCTTGGTGCGTCACCAGAAAGACGGTTAGAAGCTCTTTGATTAGGTTAAAGTTTTTAAGCCAACAAAAAGATTTTGAACGGGTGATTCACCAATATATAGTCTAGTGATGACGCATACCAATGATAACAGAACACTTAAAAAATAATTGAAAATGTTTTTGTTGAGTTAAATGAAATCTTACCGCTTATATCTTATGTTTTTAAGGATCTCCTCTATGGATGCTTATCTTTCTTATTCTGTGAGAGTTTTTACATTTTTGTCCACCTCAGGAAAAATCTCTGTGGCTCTGTTACCTGTTAGTTGATGGGTTTTCATTTTTTGGATTCATGGAAAAACAGATCAAAAACACTCTTTTGATTTATTATGTATTTTTGCATTTCTACTGTATGACTAGAAAATCATCACCAATTTACTAATATGCAATGTTTTAAGTACATGGAGATCATTCATTTAGGAGTATAGATGGAAGAAGAAGAACAGGATGAAAGGGCATGTGTGATTGGTAGCTGGGATCATCAGACCTGGACACTAAAATAGAATTTAAAATAATTGAACATTTATCCCAACAATCAAACTAAAAGCAAACAAATCTTTTAAAAGGAAATAATAAAACACAAAAGCTGTAACTACTGTACCTAATGGCACAAGTGTCACCATTCTCAAACTAATAAATTAGTTTCAGTTTCTATTTTCTATAACTCTACCTTGCACAGGTTTTCAGATCTGTTAGATTGTGAGGTGGTCCTGTTAAGGTGATCCCGTAGATTTTCTGTCAGTTTAGTTCTGAACTTTGCTTCATCCAAAAATCTTCAAATTTACCCTGTTCATTCATCCAGTGTAGCTTTACACTTAACTCAGGGAGTGGTGGCTTAGTGGTTAGAGCATTGCATTTGGGTCCCGGAGGGTCTGAGTTCAAGTCCCACACACTCCACGGACTGCCACACTGGGTCCCTGAGCAAGACCCCTAATCCCAGACTGCTCCCCAAATGCGATGGGGAGATGCAGAGAGTGATTTTCCCCAATGTGGGACAATAAATGATTCATATTCAGTAAGTCATATTGGTTGTGGGCAAAGAAAACAAAATGTTCAAATGAAACCAATCTGAGATTAAACTGAACATATTTCAAGGTATTAAAAGACAGTTGCTGGTAGTTTAGCATGGGTTTCTTCACTTTTGAAAGCCGTTAAAACCACAAGAATAACGCCCTAGAATAGAGATCCTAAAATAACAAAGAAACAGAACAAAGATTCACAAAAGACAAATTCATAATAGACATATGAGCAATCAGAAGATACAGTTTCAGATTTCACATTTAGAGAGCGAAAATTTAGAGCTTAATACATGAATATAAAAGAAATGCAATATATCAGAGATATAGCTTTAAAATAGTGCAGATGTCTTTATTTTTGCATTCATTCCTGTTTTGCTGCAGCCGAGTCATTCCCCAGGCAAATCCCTTGACACTTGCTGTAACTTAATCATCAGCGCTGGGTTTCAGTCCACCAGCCGAACACTGAAGGTCAGTGTCTGCATGTGGAGAAATGTGGAACCCACTCAGTGTCTCGCCTGCGCTTCTTTTCTTCAAGGCAACATGCTGCCCGTGTTCTGTGTGGTCGAGCACTACGAGAACCCCATGGACTTCGACAGCAAGGAGGAACACGCCGAGTTTGTCCTGGTTCGCAAGGACATGCTCTTCAACCAGCTCATCGAGATGGCCCTGCTGTCGCTGGGCTACTCCCACAGCTCCGCAGCTCAGGCCAAAGGTAACCAATGAGCTTTCTTAGTCACTCTATTCTCTCCCTGACATGCTTTTACCACACTGCAGCTAATCTGAAGCTACAGTAGAGCATCCTTACTCTGAGCCTAGACACTATGGGTCATGCACACTACTGTATACACTACATATATATTTATACTCAGCAGGTGTAGCTGGTTGAATAAAGGTTCCACTAATTGTGCTGGAACACATGCAGGCCAAGGCTAGATGTTTCTCTTTGTTCTTTTTAATATAACCTGTCCATCACACACACACAAACTGAAGCAGGCACCACTTCACATCCTAATCCAGCTCTCCTCAGGGCCGTCCTCCTTCCTCCATCCTGCTGTGTGGGCTGCTCCAGGTTTAAAGACGGCGTCAGGAGAAATTCACACTTTTATGTTGTGATTTCACTAATAAATAAAGAGGAACGGAGAGTGATTATGGCACCAAGATGCTTCTTGGTTGCCTACACATGGTGCTATTCGCACTTTTCCCGCGTGTTACTGTTTTAAATTAGCTCAGACGCTCTCGTTCTCTCTCTTGTCCACATCTGTTGTTCACCCACGTCTACGTGTCTGTGATCTACTCAGGTATGATTCAGGTGGGGAAATGGAACCCCGTCCCGCTGTCGTACGTGACAGACGCGCCGGACGCCACGGTGGCCGACATGCTGCAGGACGTCTACCACGTGGTCACGCTTAAGATCCAGCTGCACAGGTAGGACGGCGTCCCGTTTCTGTTACACACGTACTCTCAGACCCATCAGAATGCCATTATCCCATATGATGGCTCTATGTACAACATATCTTTACAGTGGAGCTGCATTAACCCCTGATTGCACCTCTAACACAGTCTGCACATAACGTTTTCTCTTTGGCAGTTGGCAATCTGCGTGTTTCATACTCAGAATAGCATTATTAGTCATAGAAACTGCCGCTTGGCCTCTCCCAGGAAACAGGAACAGATATCTGAGGAAAAATCTCCACGACATGTGGGTGCCTAAAACACACTTGTTGTAGTTGTAGTCATTTTTTTGGGTTAAAAGTCAGAAAGCAAAGAAAGGGAATCCTCCAACTAAGGATCTTTTCTGTATCCGTTTAGCTTTAAACGGTCAAACCATCAAAAGGATTTAGCTCCAGTAGCTGATCTAAATTTAACTGGTAAGTGCTGTTAACTGATTAGCAGATTACACAGGCATCTTGTTTTGTAAATTGGTGAAGTAAAAAAAAAAAAAAAAAAAGGGACAAAATATTAAAGCTGTGAGTCTTGATTCAAGCTCTGCACATAAAAAGAGATTCCAGCAGATTAAGATGATGCTTTCTACAATTTTTTCAAACCAGAAATAACTCCAAAAATCCCCAGATGTTGAATCCAAAAGACAATAATTTGATTTTAAGGTTTTATGCATTGAATTATCCATTTTGGACTTTGTCTTAAAATTAGTCGGACTCAACCTAAGAGGGACAACAGAAACACCTTTAACTCTCTGTTGTTGCTGGTAGTAAATGAGCTTTTAGAAAATAGGCTCCAATCATCAGTCCCATATTTGTACACCGTAAAGAAAACTTTGGTTTAGCTTTTGGCTCAAGGACGTGCTGAAAATAAACTTGCAGAAAAAAATCTGTTAAATAAGTCGATTCTATTCGCCTCCATGGGAGTTTTCATGTAAATTCCTGCTAGTGAAATGCATGCTCTATTAGCAAGCAGAAATTTAGTCGGTTTGCAAGCAGGAAAGACAACAGCAAAGAGATTACCAAATCGGTTGCTTGGATTCATTAATCTAAGTCTTACTGGGCCATTATATTGAAAAATATGTTCCTCAAAAGTGGAAAAGATTGAAGAGAGTGGGCATACTTTCCAGGAGTGGACGTCCCAAGATGGGATGTTTTGATCAGGAAAGGCTTAGAGAAATAAAGTAAAAACGAAGTGTTATCTTTAATGACACAACGATTATAAACTTCGCTAATCAAAGTAACATCTTAGCTAACTGAAAATGTGTGAAATGAGGTAAAGATGTTTCGATTGCCGTTATAGGGCTGAGAAACCCAATCCAGAAATGCCTCACAGCAGCTGTCAAGCATAAGAATGGCGGCTTATGATGTGGGTTTTTTTTGCAGCCATCGTACCTGTACACCCCGGACTCAGTTTTTTTTAGATCATTTTTACAAGACTAGGTATTAAAGGTTTTATCATTTTTTTAAGGAGATGATTAAAAGCATTTTTCTTTATTATTGCGGATCCAAAAATATACAGCCTGAATATAAGACAGTGGTTTGGTGTAGAAAACGACTAACCACAAGCCTTGGATTGAATGCTGTTTCCGTCTTCCCATCACATTGGATGCTGAATTCTCCTCTGTAGGTGTGAGCCTTTGTTTTATTATTGCACCTCAAGCGCACACACGCTTTTATATTTTTGGACCCAAACAGGCTTGCATGTCCTCACGGACACAAAGACGTGCACGCACAAACAGTCAGCTGGCGCTGATGTTCAGGCTCGTGCCAGCTGCGCGCTAACCTAGTGTTCTGCAACTCTCTGGAGAGCTGTTCCTGCTCTGCCTCTTCCCCTTCTGTCCCCCCCCTCCCCTCCCTCGCCTCCCACCTTCACCAGCCGAGCACTCGCACATGCACCGACTGATGTGAGCACGTCCACCAGCCAGAATACAGAAGGTTGTGTTTGTTTCCGGCCTGCCAGCCTCTGAATGCACGGATAGCTTTCCTTCCCTGCTCCCTCCTCCCATCCTGCTCGCTCTTTCCCTCCTCTTGTTCACTTCCATCTCCCCAGAGGCTCTCTAGCTGCTGGAGCAGTTTAAGGTGTTCTGGAAAATCCATTGTCGGCCTGATGGAGTGCGTGCACGTGCAAGGCAGTATGTTTCCTCGCTAGCAGATGTTGGCCTGGACCATTGCACGCATCCTTGTCTCTTCCATTCTCCTGTTATCTCTTTGCTCAGAACAGTTTCACCAAGCAAAACGAGAGACGCTATTTTTGTGTTTTTTTTGTTTTTTTTTTAATGCAAAGCCAGATTAAAAAAAATCTGTCTCTAAGTGTAAAGCAAAGCACAAGCATATGTCTAGCACATCCATACTGGCTGAAACCACTGGAGTCCAGTTCAGCTGCCCACACTCAGCATCTAAACATGTTTCTCATTTTCAAAGCCCAGGGGCGTTTTTTTCAGGTAGAGCTAAAAGTCTGCAGCTGATGACTCTTCCAACTGAAGGCAGCGTCGATCTGTTACACATCGGAGTATATTGTTGTTGTTCTGAATATTTTCAGCAGCGCTATTATCTTCGTTTTGCACCCAAACCGCAGAAATCTACCCAGTTAGACCTTAAATTGTCTCAGCGAATACAACAAGCCAGGAAGGTACCAGTAACACAGAATAATAGTCGCCACATGCAGCTGATGTATAATTCATGCATCAATCCAGCAGATGTGTTGTATAAAGTAATTAACTAATCAGAACAATCAGGAGAGAGAGAAAAGGGGAGAGAGGGAGAATATGAAAGAGAGAGGAGGAAGGCAGAGGGAGAGATGGAGAGAGAGACAGAGCAATCTCCAGATGCATCTGCTTGATGCGCCAAATGAAATCTGTCTGTCTTGGAGGGACGCTTGCAGCAGGAAAAACGAGCAGAGGCCCGTGTGTTCAGCTCTCTTTTCTCTCTGGTTTCCTCTCATGTGACTTCAGTGCATCACTACATGGATTTCAAACTGTTCTGTCCTAAAACAGATTTTTTTCGAGGGGAACAGGTTTTGTGGTTGGATCAGTTTGTGGCTGCTGGACTGTGGACTGTGTCTGTGCTCCCCTTTAGAATTTAGACTCTTAGATTAATACTGAGATTTGCAAAAGACTGCTAATATTTCCAAATCCTGAGAGAGAAACAACCCAGCAGCCTTCCTGTTATCTATTTTAAATCCTGCTCTTTCTTACTCTCCTGCAGAATTAAAGATGCTGTTTTCTTTTAAATTAATTTTTACATCTCTGTATTACATCAGATTGCTTTCTGCTGTTACTGAAAAAAGCAAACTAAAGCAAACTAACTAACTAACTAAGTCAGTAAGAAATGTTTCTAAAAAATTTTTTTTCAGTTTTTGTTTGTGGTTTTGTAAAGAATACAAAAAAGAGTGAATTATTGATCTCTATTCACCCATTTCAACAATGCAGCTCTCCTCCTGTGGTTAACATGGCTGAATTGGTGGCTTTATTTATGGGAGTTCTGTCTTTCCAACGATGTAGATCAGTTCATTAAATGGAAAGTAAAATATGTCAACTTGTTTTCAAAAAGCGCAGCTAAAGGATAAGTTAGGGCTTTAAAACATTTTTAATTCTAACCCTAAAGGTATCAAACCTAACCTGAACAAACATTTGATTAAGTTCAAAGGTTATTGTCTATATTGAGTCCAATTAAGTCCAATGTATTGCCTAAACATTATTTCAGCTTTTTCTCAGGTTTCAGTATCTTAAATTATTACAGTAACCACAACCTGAAAGTATTAGGTTAAAGTTTATTACATGGTTTCTAGAATCAATACTGAAAACCCACCCCCCCAAAAAAACAATTCACATGATCTGTAATTATCATTATAAACATTTGTATTTGATAGATGTTACCAATATTAAAGCTTTATAGTCAATTTTTAGTCTTAATTCACCAAAGTCACAGAAAAATGTTCGACAAACTTTTGTTTTATCTGAGCTTTTTTATGATTACTGTCTTTCCTTTGCCCTTCTCTATCCCTCTCTCCTTCCCTCCTCCCTTCTTATACCCCATCTCCTGTGTTTCTTTTTTCTTAACAGTTGTCCTAAGCTGGAGGACCTGCCGCCCGAGCAATGGAGCCACTCTACAGTAAGAAACGCCCTCAAGGAGTTACTCAAAGACATGAATCAGAGCTCTCTGGCTAAAGAATGCCCTTTATCACAGGTGCTGGAGCCCAATCTGCTTATTCAAAATTCCCCCCCTAAAAAGAGCAAAAGAAAACAGAAAAATATTTCAACCTCACCTCACCTCTTCCCCCTCCCCTCTACTACCATACCACACAACAAAACAAGCACCCCTATCTCCATCACCTCCGTCTCTTATCCTTCATTTATCAAATGCCCCGAGTTTGATCAAGTGGGAAAAAGAATTGGCATAGAAAACCAAAATCAATGGCTATTGTCGTCTGAATTTTTTTTCCTCCTCTTGCCGCCTACATCACGCAAACACACACAGAAGCAGAGACGTGCATGCAGCGGCAGCCAAAAAACCAGAGGTGTTACTGAACATATGGTTATTGTTAGATAAACACTGGACCAATCCCAGAACGAGCCGGATTGCTTTTTTTTTTTTTCTGCTCTTTTTTTGTGTGTGTCTTTTAGTTCGTTTTGTATCACTGCATTGGGCTCGAGAAAAACACATTCACATGTTAGGTGTTATGCTTTGTGCCGCTTTGTCAGCCAAGAGGTTCAATAGAGTGCTCTTGCACGGATATTGTATTAAAAGGCAATGCAGTCGGTATATCATGTAGGCAGCCGTGGAGTGAATGGAATAAAAAGGCAGAATATTTCAGAGTTTGTGTTAGCTGCTGTTCTGCAGGAATGGTGTGTGTATGTGAGTATTTCTCCTAAATGTGTTAGTAAAATGTAGAGAATATATCTGTGGTATTTGAGGTTTCACAGAGCGGTCAGCTCTCCTCAGGGTCCACCGATGGTCACCTGGAGACCGTGATTTGTGTTGAGCATATGAGCAAGAAGCTGCTTTCGGCGCATGTGTGTGGTGGTGGTGGTGTGTGTGTGTTTAGCTGGGCATGATGATGTAAAGAGTCCCTGGGTGGCGTTCAGGCGGAGCCCAGCCCGGTCTGGTAATCACCCTGTTTACGGTCCATATGTGAAGACGGCTCAGAGGAGAGCACACACTAGCTCGGAGGATTTAACACACAGAGCACATTCAGCCTGTCTCAGACACAAATTCGCAAGACTAAACACACACACAAGTTTCAGATTAAATGATCAGATTATTTTCTGAAATCGGTATATTTATTTCTCTGTACCAGTTTAACTGCTTTGAATCCGGACTAAATGAAATGTAAGGTATCACTACTTTCTGGGTTACAAAGGTGACCCTTTAAATTTTTCTCCCTAGGTTACAATCTGTTATTTCGGGGGATCTTATGTCATAGTTCAAAATTGGAAAAGTGGGGAAAACATCTGTATTCTTTCACTTGTTTAGTTTCAAGCTGAAGCTATCTGCTGCAACAGGGTCAAGTTTGAATGCAGAATGTCTGAGCAGGAGGTTTAAGGTCCTTTACTTTAATTTACTCCATTGTTAATTAGATTATCAATGTCTTATCAGACCATTCTACAGGAGATGGCTATAAGTTTAGACTTAGATTTATTTATTTATTTCACAGGGACAGTGTACATTTATAAGCATTCCTGCAAATGCACCACAATTAGACAAAATGCTATTTTTCATCTGTTGTCCCTGGACAGATCTTAAAATTGTCTAACTAAAAAAAAACACAACAGTAAGCATTTTAGATCCTTCTTACAAGTAAGTGACGTAATCGGGTTCACCTGCTGTCGTTCCAGTTCCAAAGCTAACCTGTGATCGTGTTTATTTTATTTCAATTTGATAAATGTAACCAAGACAAGAAGCCATTTCCCGGCTTTATAACTGAGCTAATAGGATCCGCCGATGCCTCAACTCTATGTCACATGATTTCAAGCTACTATTCCTATTGGAGCAGATTTATTTTGTGTTCATGTTGGCATCAGTATTGATATATATTGGATCTGTCAAAATAGATAAAATAATTTTTATATATATATTTTTTAGCAAAGTTAATATTTTATTCTTCACCATTTTAGAGGATGTTCTATTTTTTTTAAATGAATTATTTTTAAGTTATAGTTGTAGTTATTACCTTTAATTACTAAATATAAATTGAACCTCCCCATATTTTTTTAGAGTAATTGTTGTTTAACCTCCATCCAAGTTCGAAGCTTGGAGCGTTACAGCTCCTCCAGTGTTACCAAAGTTTCATGGTCTCTTCTTTAATCAATGCTTTCCCATCCTGCCTTTCTGTTTGGAGGATGAACAGTTTTGACAGATTTGAAACCAAGTTTAGTTGGATTTGGAATAATTAGAGACAATAAAACACAAAAAAGCTGAAAAGATGTATGCATTTAACTCAGAAGGTCTTGAGAGCATCAATCCTTCCACTGATGGATGGATAGTTTTAGCATCACTTTATAAGATGTTTTAAGTTTGGATCATTATTGATCCAAGCTATATATCACTGGCTTTAAACTTTGACAACCATCTAAGGTTTTCCAGCAAACGTTCCTCACAGACTGTTTTTAGATTTACTCTGAATCACCTCCACTTTGACTATTTTTTACTAATTTGTAGCCTTTTTTGAGTTAGTTGCAGTGAATTTTACATTTAACAGAATGAAATACAAATACCAGCCACACTTAAAGATATTTTGCTTAAAGGTCCTCTATCATACTTTTTTAATTCTTCCATTAAATGTCACCTTAAGATATTAATTTAGTATTAAATTTTAGTGTTTTTCTTGTACCTTCTTTTTCCAACCTGGAAGAAAGGCACAAGCATTCTCTGTTATTCCACCTCTTCCAGTGTTCGCGTTGCCCATTTCATGACGTCTCCATAGAGACCTTGCAGCATGATATAAAGCCCCTTCTAGTGATTAATCCCAAAGTCTGAGAACTTTGGCAGCTGAAAAACAAATTTTTTGTGACTTAGACAAAAGTTTATTAAAACAACGGTTGTTGTCACTGTGCAGATTAGCGGCTAAAAGAGCGACCTTATCTCAACTTTAAACAGAAACGATCGCACTCTGCCTCACATCTGAGAAAGTTAAACTGGGCAGGTGCAGCTCATACATACTAGGTGCTTCCTTGAGTGGGCAGGTAATCACTGCTCTACATGAAACAGTGATTTCCACTCACTTTCAAGGACAGGGAGGGCTTCTTCTTAGAGAGCAGAGTTCATGAGGGCTACTCTGACAATCATGAAACAGCACAATATCACTGAGGGCATGATTTCCATGAAGGAATAGCAATATTGCATAGTTAAAAGCTCAAAGAAAGTTGATGCAGGATATAGGCCCTTTTGAAAACAAGAATTCACTTTACAGTTATCCTCTACTGCAGTGGTCTATAATATAAAAACATTAAAGTCTGTGGTCATAAAATGAAAATATATAAAAAGGTTCAGCATTAAACTATTTCACAAGCCTCTCTATATATACCAAACGGTTTGTTTCAGTGTGATCTATGAGAGGGCTGCCATGATGGTCTTTGACATCTGTTACTCTGTGGGGGCCGTATGTGTCCGGCTACCCCCACCCTACCTCAAACACAGAATGATAAACACACTCCCTGCCTTCCAGGCCCCTCCCTGCAACAGTTCACTCAGAATGTGAGGGCTGTGGGAGGAGAAAGGGGCGTAGTGGGAGGGAGCACCTTTTTTAGGATTAGTGTTTCCCTCATATTCTACTGTGTAATCCCAAACTAAAAGGGGAGGTGAACAGATGACAGGATAGCTGTGAGTGAATGAGCAAGCCTACCTCTGCACAACTCCCAGAGGAGATTGTTGTGCAACAAAATTTGGTTCGGCTTGAATTACTATAAATAGCTGGAAAAGGCAAACATTAACAGTTATTCATTTTAATCAAATTCACTTAATGGGGGCAACACCTGATTATCAGGAATTAATAACCAAACAGCTTTTAGTGTCTGTCAGTTCTTGTTTTATAAAAACTTACCTGTGGTATTTCATAACAATACATGGAGTAAATACTCTTGTTTGTTTTGTTTTTTAACAGCAGTCCTTACAACGCATAAACAGAATGAACGCTAACAATTTCTCTCAGTAATGCAAGCATTTTTTCGAAAAAACACTCGACTAAACTTCTACAAAAGGATGAACAGAGAGCAAAAAAAAAGCAACAAGTAAGAGAAAAAACAAACAAAAAAATGAGCAATTAAAAAATGTAGTTTTATATCATTCCAGAGTAAATATGTGATTTTAAAAACCAAGGTTTTTTAGATTAAAAAAAAATGTAATAAGGCTAAATTAGCTCATGTAGAAGAGCATTTTCTTGGATTTCAAAATGAAGAGTTTTAAAATCTACTGATGAATTACAGAACTTTTTGTTTACTAACCATCACAATCACTAAGTGATGGAAAAACAAGATGGCTGCAAAAACTGACAGATTCACATTTTGGAAGACGGACCATGAAACATTAGAAATCAGCTCAGGTTGACAACAGAGAAAACGGCAGACAGTTAGCAACGTCTCTAAGCTAAATTCTTTGATAAAATGATATTGGATCTGTAAAAGATCTCTGAAGACATTGGATGTCGATCACACATGACTAGGGTTGGAAGATTTTATCAAAAATCTAAATTGTGATTTTTTTTAAATTCTTTTCCCATTTTATTTTGCAACAAAAAAGTTGTTGCTTTCATAAACTTAAAAGCTTTCTGGTCCAGAATCCATAGTTGCAGGACTTGATTGTTACTGTTGTATGGAAAAGGGTTTGCTTCCACTGCATGGCTCTGCTAGCTGCAGCTCTCTTCCCTTCTGTGTTGTAGCAAAGTGTATAACCATCATCTTTAGGGCTGGAGGGAGAAAATCAGTGTCTTATTCATTGTAGTGGTACCAAAAATGAGTGCCTATGAGATGAAGAAAACTGTGCTTTTTAAGTTGTAATTATATTGTAAATGCAATCAATTGCCCAGCCTTACAGAGGATCATACTTTACATTAGACCCAAGGCTTCTCAAAAGATGCAATGCAAAGAAGCGTGGTCCTGCGCTCGTCTTCTCAGATGCAGCCTAAGTTTTTTATAGTTGATGTAGTTCAGCCCTTGTTGCCTCCCATGGTTGAGGAGAAGGAGGAAAACAGA